CTTGACAAGCGGATTAATGAACTCAGCGGAGCTCCTTCTGCTAACCGAGCTGCCATACTGTGCAGTGTCTCCAGGTCCCGGGGCCTGAAAAACAAGCACGGCCCTGAGAGCGCTGTGTTCCACAAACAAAACATCCCCTTTATATGTGCGGTGGGTGAGATTCGGAGAAGGAGTAGAACAAATGCAAGGTGAGCCAAGTGTGTGGGAATTCCAGCGCTCCCCCCTGAGTTACCCAGCCCAACGCACATTCCCCCTCCAAAGACAGAGCAGCGGAAAAATCGGAGCAAAACAGCAGCAGCAGCAGCAGCAGCAGCAGCAGCAGCAGCAGACAGGACAGGATGGTTGTAACTCAACCAAAACAAATACAGCAGCAGCCTGCGGCTTTTACGTTCAGGAGAATACATCTCAAATATGTATCAGTGTGAATATGTGTCGAGTTTTAATACAATGCACCATTTGAGGCTGATGCATCTACAATGTTGTTGCATACTCACAATAAAGTTCTTGAATCTCAACAAATGGCTCTTTGCAAGCCTCTATTAAAACGGTATAACATTTGACAACTTTTTATTCAGTAGGCCTACATGCAATCTTATACATTTTAATCTTTGGCATGTCATTTACAGAATATGTTAAAACACCCAAAAAAAACATCACACAATTATTTGTTCCTGTTTGTTTTGCGGAACTCTTTTTTGGTGACGTATACCTGCGCTGCACTTTTCCTCACTCTTGCCTCTTGGGGGGGAAAGAACATTTTTATTATCTGAAGGGTGACGCGGTTGCTCTTAGCTCTGTAACCATAGAAACTAAAGAAAACAATCACCTACATTCCTTGTGAAAAGTCTGAACTTCGTTAAAAGAGAAGTCTCTCTTTGCAATTTGAATGAGCAACACAAATAAGTGTTTTTGCACACACTTTCCTAAAGCAGCAACCACCCAACATGCACAGTGAGTTAACACAGCATGGCCAGGTGTGTGCAGATAAGAGAATACAATGGGTTTGACCTTCTTTCTAAAGCTCTTTCCTGGGGGGTACATCTCAATGCAACACCCTGAATGCCTTTGACTCTGAAAGGCTCTAAAGTGTTATCCTGATTCATCACAGCGTTACCACGATGACGGCTGCATTTCACCTCGCCTTCACAGGAAGGTACACACACCTTTGCCTTTGATGCGTTTCTGAGGACACATTGCATGAACACTTTCTCCTGTGTCTGCTACTGGATGTGTAGTATGTCATTTCTATTTGATCTTTAATACCTTATGCATGCTTCTTTCTTAATATTAAGCTATTTGTGTCTCTTAACTTGCTGTAGAATAAATGTCTAAATGTCCCTTTGTTCTGTCATCCAGAATGTCCTCACAGGACACTATATATTATAAATGTACTTCCAATTCTATAAATGCATGGACCATCAATTGTTTACAGCGACCCGGGTGCAAGGCTCCTTTGAATATTCTTTAGTGTTCACCATGTCTTCACGGGTGATCCAGACTGCCATCTGGATCCCATCAGAGACCACAAATACAGCTGTAGTGAAAGCGCTGGGTAGCAGCGCACGCCGCCCAGCCTAATGAATGGGGAGAGCAGAAGAGCACATTTCCAACCCCTGCAACAGGTCAGTGGCAGGCGTGGCTTCACTCCCCTCACACACACATCAAACAGACGGAGGATGAATTGTCGGGGAAAAGACCCGCCTCACCGCGCCTCCCACGCTACCTGAGTGTCCTGAAATATCCCTCCTCTCCAACAAAAGCACAAAAGGGCAAGACGTGATACGTGATACGGCAGAGTTAAAAATAGACTCTCCACTGACGGATAAGGCCGTGTTTCGTGACCTGTGCTCAGCTCTTGGTTTACACGCTGAAGAGCTCCTACGACTCAGCTCATTGGACACAAAAACCACAACAAGGACATGTTTTTTCTGCACCACTTAAAGATACACGGATCAGGAAGCCTCCCTTCTATTGGGATGTTATGAGGCCTGGAACTTGAGAACAGAGGGAATCAAACATTCTCACGAGCGTCAAAGCAGAGAAGGCCCTGTTCAGGGGATTCAAAGGGTCTCATGGTATGTGAAGCAGAAATGATCTGCCTGAGAAGCCCACCTTTCCAGAGGAAGGATATTTCTTTTGTGTTGATGTCACCAGGCATGCTCCACAGAGGGTTGTCAACACATGACATCATGCAGGAAAAATCCATGAGAGAAACTGCAAGCTTTCCGAACTGCCGTTTGCTTTACGTCAATCACAGCAGAGGAAAGAAAGGAGTCCTGAAAGACACGTTTTTGTGCACAGTGTTAACGGACCAATGGGTTCAGAGGATCAGACATGGGAAGGTGTTAACAACAAGTGTAACTCTTGATGTGAAGCGTATAATAATGTCTTCTTTCAATTACTTTTATTTTAAAACTGTATTTCCCTTTTCTTTTAAACGCAGGACAAATGTGACTCAATGACTTTGTTACTATAGCAGCATTTCCACATACAGAATTGATTGATTCAAAGACATTCCAGGAGTATAAAGGGAATCATTTCTCCCACTCTGTGTCAGACGTGCATGCAACATGCCTCAGAGTGACAGGAACAATGGCCTCTTTCACTGCCTGCGCCAGGCTGGGGATGGGGAGGTGCATCATGGGAAGCAGACAGGCTCGTACAGTTGAGCGCAGATACTTCAGAGAGACCTCGCACAAACCCCGGCAACAAGCAGTGGCACTTCAACCCTCGGCCATGTGTGAGCCGCGCTTTGTAGAACACACAGAGCAGAAACACTGAGGGCAGGTTCGCTCACAGACCCTAACAAGTCCTCACTTTATGCAAGAAAAAGGAAGTATGAGTAGAGATGGATGTTTTCTCTTGTTTCTGATGTATAAGCACTTATTGGAAGCATGGACTGCTTTCATATTTGTATGTATTGCTCACAAACTCACAAAGAAACTGAAAATAAATGGCGAAGGTAGCATCATTCCTAGTTCTTTAGAAAAGGGGACCTGCAGACCTTTGACCTAAGTCAAAGTCTTTGGGAACATCCTGGAATACATAAGGATTCATTCTTCTACACTATGGAATTTGCAAGTCTGTATTTTATTGCATTAAATCCTCAACAACAAAAACAAGGAATGTTCTCTTTCCAAACTAAATGAAATGTCATGAATCCAGTTTGGAGATTTATCACATATTTGTTCCTGAAACTGGATTTTGGATTTCTATCCAGTTGCAGTTTGGCTCCGATTTCTCCAGTTTCTGCCAGACAGTGTTTAAATGACCAGAAAAGATTCAGTAGGCCTGACAAGGAACAGGAAGCAGGAAGTCATTCAGGATTTTGGCTTCCTGTTTTTGACATTTCATACACCCCTATGTAGAATAGTTAAGAAATATTAAACAACTTAAAGGGACAGCATTTGAAGGCAATATGTTTGAATAGGTCTTAATGTGTGACCTTAGTAGGTGATGGACTGGCCTTTCAGAATACATTGAAGTAATATAATCACATATATTATGTAAGTGTAACAAACTAGCTGTGATGCATAATGAGGTTTGTATCGCAAATATATCGTAGTTTTACCGGTTAATCGACGAATGTGTCTGAATATCATTTCAGTCAGTGTGTTTAGCGAGTTCATTGTAAATAAGATTTGTTTATGTTTAATGCAAGTTATTAGACGTTGATGACACTATGCAGCCACACTGAAATGATGTGGTTGTGTTTCTGTACAAAACACTGAAACATTGACTTTAATTCAATGTATTATGTCAACAATAAAGCAATAACATTGAGTTTAAAAAAGATTAGGTTCAACTTCATATTATTGCTTGTAACTAAACTAATACAGTTATGTAACATCTGTTGACATGATACATTGAACTAAAGTCCACGTTTCAGATTTTTCAAATTATTTACAAAACGAACAAATTATCATTTCAAATGTCACGCATGGAAGTCCCTTTTGTGTCCAAGTGCAACAACAACATTGTAGGCCAAACAATTAGAAAAACTAAGAGCTGATAGATGTTGATCTTTCAGCAGAGGTGGATTAAGATGTTGGTTGTACTTTCAGATATGTTACAGAGAGAGGTCATGGACTCGTGGCGGCAGAGGAAGAGCGTCCACGCCGAGCCGCTCCCACACTCAGATGCCAGCCTCCACGTGGTCCGGGCTAAGCACTCTGACAACCTGAACTCTTACTACAGCAGCTTACACTCCACTACATACGCTAAGCCACTATGAGACTAACAGCTCCGCACAAAGAACGCCTTTGTGTTTGCTAGCAGACTCTTATAACTGCAGGGATAAAACAATGTCTGACTTTACACACGAGAAGGCAGCCATAAAGATCTGTGAGCAGCCTGTCACCCCAGAGTTATAGTTTCTCCTTTTTACAAGCACATACTAATTGTAAATCTTACTAGGATATAATACTAGAGGGAGAGGATACAATAAAAGGGTGAGTTTGAATGGTTATGAGGCTTGTTAAAGGTTTACGTTAGCATTGCATAAACGCACTTGGATCCATTATTATTGTATTTTAAGTCAACTCAAGGCGCTATGGTAGCACCTGCAAAGGAAGTCAGAGAAGGAAGCTTCATTTCCTTTTCAACATTTAGATATAAAATGAAATGCGCATATTTGAATTTGTTCTTAACAGCGTGGTTTTATCTTTGTGTTTGAGAGCACACAGTAATGCTATTATCTTGATTTGGCTTTAAAGGCCAGTAGCCTATGTAGGTCGAGTATTTGTTTGCTACACAACAGAAAGGAAGGAATCATTTCATTTACAAGAAAACTACATATCTAACTGCTGAAGGTATCATTCATGAGTATTGAATCAATCAGACAACAGCACGATCTGAACATCTGCTTGTGTGCATCACCATGACAAACGTGTTCTCCAGCTTCACAGTCTAACCACAACAGGAACAAATACAAAACAGCCTTCCTGCCAACACAAAATAAAGTTTTGACATTTTTGAAACAAAGTATTGTAGCTACTCACAGACTTGTCCTTCATCTTCTGATGGTGATTAGTGATCATTTATCCACGAGCAGCGCAGCGTCACACTGACTCATCTACATCACCGTCAGTCACAGAATCAAGGTCAGGTACATGATTGGCAGGTCGGCGTTGTGGGGGGGGGGGGGGGGCGTCCCTGCAGAGTCGAGGCAGACAGTCCACAGTCACACACGCAACCTCACAGGAAAGCTTACACACACCACAGTCCATTCATACACACATGGACCGACTACACATTTTAGGACTGTGAGTTTTGTCTCTTTTGACCGACTGTTAGAAATATCCTAATTGTCCCCTTTTGTATCAACTGGATCAGCTGTTTATGTACGAGGAGGACATTGTGAAGTATTCTCTCAAGGATGCTTAAAACCCAATTCACTACCTTTGAATTCAGATTCAAACAAAGCACAGATGTAATTAAACTTACCGTGATAACTGAACATCAATGGGAACACTTTTGCTGCCAGGTAGTTGTATCAGGAATGTTCTAGAATCAACAGAAAAGAGAAAAGAGAAGATTAATGTACTAATAATATCAAATAAACAGAATCTGAAAGTGTTGCTGTTCTTGTTCTTATTAAACGACTCTAACAAATGTCAGGAACAAACACTTCATTCATGTTTTAAATACAAAAAAAGGTAAATGAATATTTAAAAACAATGATATCAGGGAGCACATTTTTAAATCCACATTTTTTGTTCCTTTAATTTCCACAAACATCGACATCTGCTGCTGAACAATGAAGTCTGTTTCCAATACAACCGACACAAGATTGCATTTGATGCATTTGGTCTTATTGTATTTATCTCTCTGTCTTATTTCTGCATTCATTCATCAAACAAGTTAAAGACTGAATCTGCTGAGTCCCTTCAGATCAGTGTCTCAGTGTCTGTGTGTGTCTGTGTCTCTGTGTGTCTGTGTCTCTGTGTGTCTCTGTGTGTCTCTTGTCTCTTGTCTCTGTGTGTCTGTGTCTCTTGTCTCTGTGTGTCTGTGTCTCTGTGTGTCTGTGTCTCTTGTCTCTGTGTGTCTGTGTCTCTGTGTCTCTGTGTGTCTGTGTCTCTGTGTGTCTGTGTCTCTTGTCTCTGTGTGTCTGTGTCTCTGTGTGTCTGTGTGTCTGTGTCTGTGTTTGTCTGTGTCTCTGTGTGTCTCTTGTCTCTGTGTCTCTGTGTCTCTTGTCTCTGTGTGTCTGTGTCTCTGTGTGTCTGTGTCTCTTGTCTCTGTGTGTCTGTGTCTCTGTGTGTCTGTGTCTCTTGTCTCTGTGTGTCTGTGTCTCTGTGTCTCTTGTCTCTGTGTGTCTGTGTCTCTGTGTCTCTTGTCTCTGTGTGTCTGTGTGTCTGTGTCTCTGTGTGTCTGTGTCTCTGTGTGTCTATGTCTCTGTGTGTCTGTGTCTGTCTCTGTGTCTATGTGTCTCTGTGTGTCTGTGTCTCTTGTCTCTGTGTGTCTGTGTCTGTCTCTGTGTCTCTGTGTCTCTGTGTCTCTGTGTCTCTGTGTGTCTGTGTCTCTTGTCTCTGTGTGTCTGTGTCTGTCTATGTGTCTCTGTGTCTCTGTGTCTCTGTGTCTCTGTGTCTCTGTGTGTCTGTGTCTCTTGTCTCTGTGTGTCTGTGTCTGTCTCTGTGTCTCTGTGTCTCCGTGTGCTGGGAGTTAAAGACATCCTTTAATTTCACCTTCAGATCAGCTGTGAAACCTGTCTATCCTCTCGTCTCATTCTGCCACTGCTGGACTGATAACAATCAAACGACACGCTGCTGCTGTGTGTGTGTGTGTGTGTGTGTGTGTGTGTGTGTGTGTGTGTGTGTGTGTGTGTGTGTGTGTGTGTGTGTGTGTGTGTGTGTGATATCATGATGCTAATATCAGCCTGCTGTTGAATTCACGAAGGCAGCAGAGTATGAGCCTGTTTGTGTCCCTGAGAAGAGGACACTTCTCTCTCCGCGCAGTGTAAGTGTCCTCTTATGTCCTCCTGAAGGGATTTATACATCAGTGTTCAAACAGACATCCGAATGAGACTGAGCAGCACTCTCTGAGTATGATGAGAACCAATCTGCTTCCTCCCCTCCAGACACAATCCCTGAGTGAGATGAAAGCGAAGCTGTGCTACTGTAATCCATCTATATGTCCGCTTCCCACTTCCTCTCAGGCAGCCATGACTATTGATCTCCCCTATCCCCCCCACCCACCCCCCCCCCCCCCCCCCCCCTCTCTGTGTGCCTTTGTTTCTCCATCTTTACGCTTCTCTGCCTTTTATAGGAGAACTCTATAGCTGGACTTTAATATGTCAGTTACTCTGTGTTCATATCTGAAGACTTCACTGGTACTGAGCGACTACTGAGCATCAGCATTTAGCATTAAGCATGTTCCTCAGATTGATTTATAGTTTGATCAATAAGTCTGTCTATAATTGTATAAAATAAACAGTTTTCCTTCAACTAACTGGTGTTCAGGCAAAATTGTATGTACTGTACACAGCAATGCATATCCAACAAAATAAATAATTAAATAATAATAATAATAATGCATCACATTTTTTATTAGAGTGCTTTTGCAGGTGCTCAAAGCACTCTACAATTACACATATTAGCCATGACATTGCATTACATTACATTTAGCTGACACTTTTATCCAAAGCGACTTACAATAAGTACATTCGACCAGGAAGATACAACCTTGAAGAAAACAGAATCATATAAGTACATCAGGTTTCATAGAGCCAAACATTTCAAGTGCTACTCAACTGGCTTTAGGTAAGCCAGTCCTTTATTAGTATATAAGTGCTTTGTTAATAGTTCTATCGCTCGAAGTGGAGTCGAAAGAGATGAGTTTTCAGTCTGCGCCGGAAGGTGTGCAAGCTATCTGCCGTCCTGATGTCAATGGGGAGCTCATTCCACCATCTTGGAGCCAGGATAGCAAACCCACGTGTTTTTGCTGATGGGAACTTGGGTCCCCCTCGCAGCGAGGGCGCAGCGAGACGTTTGGCTGATGCAGAGCGGAGTAAGTCATAACTGTGAAGTTCATTCCTGATCTTATTTGTAGGTGTCAAAAGACCAAAGATAAATCAATCTCTTAAATTATTCATAAAAAAATGCCTCAGTTCATTGTATTTCATTGTATTTGTATACTGTATCAAAATCACATTTTAAAAAGTACAAATTATCTTACACAATTTAAAAAAATCTCGCAGCAATCGCACACTTCATACTGAGATCCCTTCTACTCAAACCTGCGAATAACAGATAATAATGCCTCTTGAGTATTTTGTTTTTGTTTTCAAAGGGAAAATATATAGGAACTTAATTACATGTATGTACATGTGTATTATTAATGTTCTTTCTTTGGTCTTTAATAATTAAATAGCTGCATCTAAACTCCAAGTTGTGGGAGAAACAATGAGTGTAAGAACTTGTTCAGTTAGTTCGGGGTGTGGTACATTAGAACAAATAAGTGTATTTCCTTCAAAGCAAGGTATCAAAAACAAAACAATATTGATTTCATCACATGTCAAACTGAACCTGTCCTGGACCCTGATTGGCTGAATATACCCACTCCTCTGAGGTAGTCACTCAACTGTGTCTCAAAAGAAATGTCAAAGTTACAAAATACAGAACAAGTTTGACCCAACAGGCTTAAAGTGAGAGGACATTCAAACACACACACTCTTGAAAGGGGGTGTATACAATTGCTTCAAAACTGCAAGGAACAAATTACGTCTAAGACAAAAACATGTCTATAAAATATTCTTTAAAAATGACATCTTTGAATGGTAACAGTCCCAGCTTTGTTTCTCACGCTCGGCTGACTCGGGTCTCTCTCAGGATCAACAGTGGAGCGTCCACCATGTTGACCTTTCACCATCTGTCCTCGATGACACCACGGTCATGTGACCACTTCAGGTACACAAACACAGCAGCCTGGGGGGCTTAACTGACCCTCACACTCTCTGTTCCCTGTGCTGCTATCAGTGGATTTGGGTCATTAGGGTTCTTACTCCCTGACTCACTCAGCATCACTCAAACTGTCTTCACCTTTATAACTCCACTTTGTGCGAGAATGACAAACAGCTGGCTATCAAATGTCACCATCTGTCCTCTTACACACATAACATGGGTTGTTCCCTCCAGTCACTCTCGAATACATTCTAAATGATGAGGGATTACAATTATGGCATTTTCAATTGCAATGCTAATTGTTCAGATTTAATATTGAAAATGTATTGTTTTATTTGTATAATGCATTGTTATAATTTGTTGTGCTTTTTCTGTAGCGCATGATTTACGTCAATCTTGATTTGGTGCCATCTTCACCATTTCTGCTGTTAGATAAAACTCACCTAATATTGTGTAGGTCCCCCTTTTGCGGCCAAGACAGGCCTGACCCGTCGGGGCATGGACTCCACTAACAGCTGTTTGCATGTCAATCCTCTGGTTAGCAGTTTGCTGCCTTTGCAGTATTCATATTTCATTCTGTTCAGGCTTCCACCATATACACTGATGTAAACTGAAGTAAGGCAGAAGTTAGTTTCTCAGCTAATGGAGCATGCTCTTTGGACTGCATGTAGGGAAACATGTATGGGAATGTTACATTTTATGTTAGCTTTTTCTGTTTTAAACTTGTGTTTTAGTTTTTTCATGAATGCAGATTAAGGGCATGTCGTCTGTGTAACCCTGATGTCAGGATCCACATTGATCCCCAACTTATCACTGACTGCGTGAAACAAATTGTGGTGAACATTCAAAAAGGTATTTGCTGAACAGAAACTGAGGTTTTGCAGAACCCTTTATCGTCTTTTCACTCAGAAAACTGAACCGTTGACTTTAATTAAATGTATTATGTCAAAAGATTTCTCATAACTCTATTTGGTGAGTTGAAAGCAATAATATTACGTTTAAATAAAAAATGTTAGGTTCAACTTAATATTATTGCTTTCAACTCACCAAATACAGTTAGTTAAGTCTGTTAATAAAACACTTAAATAAAGTCAACGTTTCAGTTCAGTCAGTGTTGACGCACCTCATTGAGGAGCAGCTTCTTTGGTTCCACGCAGGTCTGATCGCCTCTGTTCCCTCTGTGCTCCAACCCTGTCTGCTGTCAGCATGAGCGGATCGTAATGTTTTTACGGGCTCATTCTTTTTCATTTACAGGATGGAATCAGGATAAACCTGGCTGACGGGTATCCCTGCACAGATTACTCCCCCACAAGAAGGGCTGTATACGTGGATTCAACCCAATCCTGAGACTTTCATGTTTTCCACATCTGGGTGCAACAAATGGAAAACCCATCAGGGTGAACGTCATGCTCTCAGTTTTTAATGCGTTCATTTCACAGCTTTTTTTTGCTGTAGAATTAATGTTCCTTTTTCTTGCTCCCTTTGCTCTGCCATGATTATGAGAAGAAAACCCCTCCATCAGGAGGAGGAGTATGAGGCTCAGCGGGGCGTTGGAGAGACAGGATCTGCACCTATGGCCGCCTGCTGAGAGACGGCAGGAAGCCACCG